ATCCAAGTGCAGGCTTCTTTTTTATAGAATGCTACTTTTATTTTAATTCTAATATAGTTTAGGGTTAAGTGAGCTTCAAAATTAATCAAAAAGTTAATCATACCAGAGGAGTGAAAGTGTATGTTTAATACACACACAATTTTTTTCTGTTGTTACCATTTATTCCAGAAGTTCTTGGGCAAGAGACTTTATGTCAGTTCCCTCATCTATAAAACAGAGATGGTGTCACTTACTTTTTTGTACCCCTGGAAATTATGTGGAAAAGAATGATGATGTAGCGTTTAAGGATGATAAGATGACGAGAAGCAAGATCACGTAAGAGCTAACAGCAGAGATTCTGGACTCTAATTGCTGGAGAACAAATCTGGTTTGATACTTATTAGCTATGTAAATTTTAACAAGTTTCTTCATCTCTCTGTGCCTTGATTTCCCATTTGTAAAATACACATAGCAATTAGTATTCCATACAGTTGTTAGTGGATTATATGAGAAAATATGTGTAGAAAATTTAGCACAATATCTGATACACAGACATTTCTCAATAAATATTCATTTTATTTCCTTACAACAAATGAACTGAAGACCAGATTAAAAATAAGGACAAAACTAGTCCCTAATTAGACCATATTAAGGAAATAATTTTCCAAGATAAAAGTGAGTTGTAAAATAAGACAAGTTTAAGTTTTCTTTTGGAAATGATTATTTTACCATTTGCCTTTTTTTTCCATAAAGAAGTTATTTGGGGAAATGGATTCATTTTTTGCATTTCTTTGACGTTCTCTGAACTTCTTTCTATGTTTTTAAAGACATATGATACTATTTCCCTAAGAGTTTGGCCCTTCAGGAAAATAGATTGGAAGAGATCTTAAGAAGCTGAAAGAAAACAAGTGAATTATTTATTATTGCATTTATCCTAATTGTGTTTACGAGCTGCCATTCAGAATAAGCATAATGTGTAGCATTTTACTGTCAGAAAACTGCATGTCATAAAACAGGAATGAGGGGAGTGTTATAAGCCATTTGATGAAAAACACTGAAGGAAAAGAAGCAGCATGTTAGAAAAAATTGCCAATTCTGCTGTAGACTCAGAAATACTGCTAATACTAGGAACCAAGGTGCAGAGAAGGATACGAGGGCTTTTGCTGCTGTAGTGTTTAATACTGGAAACTCTAGGAGATACAAAGTCCCAAGGCTGAGGTTGGAGCCTGTCGCAGCTTGTTTTTCTTCAGAGTCTGTGTGCTGTCAAGGTACTTCCTCAGTGGTTGCTACAGAAATAATTATACTTCCAAAATTTGAGACTCTGAAGCAGACAGATGTTAACCTAGAAACGCTGTCCTTTTTGAGTGCTTGCTCTAATATCTTTAGGATTAAAAAAGAGATAAAGGGGCCGGCCCTGTGGCTGAGTGGTTAAGTTTGCATGCTCCGCTTCAGGGGCCCAGGGTTTTGCCAGTTTGGATGCTGAATTCAGACCTACACACCGTTTATCAAGTCACTCTGAGGGGGCACCCCACATAGTGCAACCAGAAGGACCTACACTAAAATATGCAACTATGTACTGGGGGGCTCTGGGGAGAAGAATGAAAAAAAACGAAACAGGAGATTGGCAACAGATGTTAGCTCAGTGCCAATTTGAAAAAAAAAAGGGAGAGAGATAAAAACAAAAAGCATCATTATTTGAACTGAAAATTTAGAAATGTGGGTTTCTTAGTTTGACCAAGTATTCTATTTCAGCACAACAAAACAGTTAAGTGAGGGCTATTTCTGAAGCCCTCAGAGTAATCAGCAAATGCTAAAGAAAACAAGAAGTAAGAGGCCTTGTCAAGTGGAAAAATGTCTGATTTTAACCAAGAAACTGAGGATAAGTATATCTTTGAAGGGATGATATCATACTGTAAATGATCTTTTAATTTTGTAGTACATGCTGGAATGTCACTACCTTGAGAAAAAACACACACAAAAACACTATATTTTGGCTAACACCATATTCACTTTGATTCTTTCTTTTGAAAGTTTTTTCTTCTGAGATTTACCTTATATAAAGGAGATTTTGTAAGCTATATACATATGTGTGCATGCATGTGTATGTGTGTGTGCCTGTGTGTATATAGACAGATAGATGCCTTCCTATTCTTTCTCTTCTATTCCATCTATCTTTTGGTCTTTCCCTTAACCAGTACCACAATATCTTCATTTCTAAAGTTGTGTAATGAATTTTTATATCAGATAAGGTAATCCCAACATCTTCTTCTTCAAGACTCTCTGGGCCGAGACACGTTAATGATTTTCAGCCATTAGGAAACAGCTAGGCACATTTCCCATTTTGGCATGATAATTTATGGAAGGATCCTGCGATAGCAACTGTAGCTTTTTGGTCATTATGAGGTAATAGATGACAGAGTTACAAAAGGACCTAAATTGAAGACTGTGCATCTGTTCTACACTGCCTATTAATTTTCCTTTGACTCATCTGTTGTTGGAAACTTACAATTCCAGCTTAAAAAAATTCTGAGTTTAATCTACAGGTAGCCCCAAATTAATCATTCCATATTTAGTACTCTAACCTATCTCAAGGATTTCAAGTAATTCTGCCAATTAAGAATCTAAGACAAATGTACGGGTGTGATAATATTTGCATTTTATACAGGAATAAACAAGTCCATTTCTAGGTCAAAGGATGCAAGAAATTAAAATGCTAAATGCAAAATTCGATTAAGAATTTGTTACGTATACAGCATTGTAACAAGTTCTGGGTTATAAGATTAACCCTATTTGCAAGGATCTAAGTATCAAGTTGGAAAAATGGATTTTTCTTTATATATAAAAATTTCAACAACCATTAAGACTGAATACAGTAAATGTTAAATGAACAGGATAGCTGTTTAGAGGAAGGGGTGGCTCCCAAGAGATGGAGGTCATTGGGTGAGGCTTTATTGAAGCCTTAAAACAGAGTAGCACTCACATGGGGTGAAAATACAAAAGGGTGTTTCAGAGATGAGAATCACAGTTAGCCAATACAAAGAGACTAGAACGTGCACAGTGGGCTTGCTGATTGCAATTTCAGATTATAAATGAACTATATGCAAAATATGTCAAATTGTATTACAGAAATCTCTACACTATATGCTTGCGACATCCTTCTGTAAGTCTGAGAACTAGCTCAGGTTTTTAAGCTGGGTGAGTGATGGATATTCCGCAGGTAATGATAATACCAGGCTTCTGCTCATGCAATTTTAATCATTGTTTATTAGGTAAATCAAGTCATGCTCCTGTTGGCTGTCTATCTGTTTTTTCTTTAGAAACACCTTGGTGTATTAACCATCACCATAGATCCCTAATGGTCAGTATTGTCACTTGACCCCTGTTATTCTGGAGTGTTGCCCTTCCGACTGACAACAGAGAGAATAATATTCTAACAATATTGCCTATCATCAACCCTGGTCTGGTCACCACTGAGCTTCCCAAACGTGCCAGTACCTCCATCACTAGCACATTCCTTATAAGCTTAGCGATGAAAGTGATCTTCGGCCCTTCCAAAGAATGTAGCCGGTGGGTAGGCTCTCAAGTGTTATACAATAGAACCATTCTAGCATGCTTACTTCTCTGACCCTTTTGATCCCTTCCTCAAAACTCTGCCAAGGCAGTTCTATCATTTCTGCTTAATTTGATCTGAGTCTTTTGTTGCCCACAAGCTTCCAGTAACCATCCCAGCAGTATATTAAGATTATGTCCAGGTACTCTTGCAAGGGAGTTTTCAGTAGTGGGAGAATGCTCCCTTGAAGGCCAGTTCTCCTTTATGGAGTTTATCTTCCACCACCCCCACTGCCCGCCCCCCTCCAACACTATCAAGATCTACTTCCTGGCATGTTCTTCCCACAGTTTCTCTTGCTACAACTAATCACGTCTTGAAGTTCCTTTTGAATAATACCTTTTTGCCTCTAGCATGGAAGTACTTCCCTAGTTGGTCCATGCTGAGACTTGATCCCAGTTACATAACGAGAAGACAGGAGAGGAAGTAGGGTCAGACTGTGAAGAGAACAAACATTATCTTCCAAGGCATCCATCTCTGTGGAGGTTTTGGCATGGTCTTCAGACAAGAGAAGACTATATTCTCCGGCAAAACAAAGTAGGCCATGCCTGCAGGCCCAGGGCTTCAGAGGAATCTGGGTATCCCATGTTCTTGAGCACATCCACCCATATGTCCTCATTCAGTCACACCCCACTCCTTCCCTATCAGGGTTCTGATTTTAGCCTAAAAGGCTAACCAAGTCTGTGAATTCAGCCTTCATTATAGTTCTGCTGCATTTACAATAAAGTGCAGTATCCAATCTGCAGTTCAGTCTGTCTTCTAGCTGCAGAAATTGTGAAATCTCTTTAAATACTTCCCTGGAGGACTTTTAACTTTCACACAGTGCCTTCTGCATTAGTTTCCTAGGGCTGCTATAACAAAATATCACTAGGTTGGTGGCATAAAACAATAGAAATTTGTTGTGTCCCACTCCTAGAGTGTAGAAGTTCAAAATCAGAGAGTCAACAGAGTTGGTTCTTTCTGGGCACTCCAAGGGAGAATCTGTTCCATGCCTCTCTCCTGGCTTCTGGTGGTTTGCTGGCAATCATTGATGTTCCTTGACTTAGAGATACATCACTCTAATCTCTGCCTCCATCCTCACATGACATTCTGCCTATGTGTCTCTGTCCCTGCTTCTAAGCTCTCCTCTTTTTCGAAGGACACCAGTCATATCGGATTTAGGGCTCACTCTAATACAGTTAAGCTTGTGTTAACTTCAGTACATCTATGAAGGACCCTATTTCCAAATAAAGTCATATTTAAACGTTAGGATTTCAGTGTATCTTTTTGGGAGACACAATTCAACCCATAGCAGTATCACAAAGACAAATAAAGACAAATTTTGGGATGGGAATTTGTGTGTAAATGATTTATTAGGATATGACCCCAAGAAAAATACAGTAGGAGAGTGGGGAAATGGGGATGGTAAGGGAAGAAGACCAATCAAGGGTAATCAAGTGGTATCCAGCTGAGGATAATTTTTGCTCAATCCAGCCATGGATTTCTGGGGACAGTATAGATCATAACTCTGAGTTGGAAACCGACCCTCCTGACACCTTAATTTTGGGCTTCCAGCCTCCAGAACTGTGAGAAAATAAATTTCTATTGTTTAAGGCACTGAGTCTGTGGTATTTTGTTTTGGCAACCCTAGCAAACTAACGCAGTAGCCATTGACAAGCAGACTGATGCTGGCTCATGGAAGTGAGAGCACCCTGGGGGCAGGTGTTCATGGAGTGGGAGAGGAATCTGAGAGAATACAGGAAGATATGCCTGGTGTCTGCTCTGGCCTTAACCCTTCATTCCAAGTGAACCATTTCTAGAATGCGGGCTTCTTGTCTCCACAACTTCAGCCTTTGCTCCATTAGACATTCAGATTTCCAGGTAGGCCATAATAAGGGTTCCACTGGGACCTGAAGCTGTGACTCATACTTTATCAAAGTGGGCTCTGAAAAATTTACCACAGCTCACTTTTATTGTTTTATTTCTTTTTAATAACTTTTTATTAAGGCTTGCTTTTATAGAATAGAGGCAGAAACAAGTGTGTCTGGGTCTTGGGTGATTCATTTGGATGCATCTGATATTTCTACACCATGATAACAGTGAAAGGGTAAATGCAACAATTGCGGTAGAATGAGGACAAGGTACCAAGAGCACAGGCCCTTCAAGGCTGAGGAAATGGGTCATTCCACAAAGTGATCAACTTAGACCAGGTACAATGTTAACCAAGGGTGGGGAAAAATCTAAAGTAGCTAATGGAGGAGTGAGAAGAACCCTTATTTGATTGGTTACTATCGAAAACTCTTTGCTTAGTTCAGTTTATTTTAAATTCTATGGTCATATCTGCACTCACAAAGGATTTATATCACAGTCCTAAAAATAAAATTCATAGCCAAGTTTGAGGAACTGTTGTCTATAGATGGGAAAATATACTGAACAATCACACAAATGGCAGAACTTCTTTGCTTCTATAAAGGACTAATTATGAAACACAGTATAGTCTATTAGGTTAAATCTGATTTTATATGCTTTTATGTTTCCAAACCTAATTAGTATAATGTCTCAATAAACTGGTATTCTACTATATAATGCAATGTTAAAGTTGATTGTACTTTATCGTTTCTTTATCATAACTCTATTGTTTTTACAATGTTTATCTTTACTTGGGGTTATAATTTTATATGTTCTTTACCTAAAGAAAAGATTTACTGTGGATCTGTAACTCACAAATTAGTATAACAAATGTCTTTCTTATTATACACTTAAAGAAAAATGTCACAGTAACAGTAATTCAACTTTCAAACTTTTAAGAATAAAATATAGAGATGCAGTTCTAATTTTAGAAAAAGGAGCAGAATGATAAATGTGATATTACAATGTGTTTTCAAATTATGAATACTTTGTGTAAATATACACAAAAATCAGTATTTTCATTCTGTCAAACATGGCAATAAATGTAAAATCACTTAGTACTATTTTTAATAATGGAAATTGACATTTTTGCACGTGATTCTTTAAGACATATAAGAAAATTATAGATTATCTATAATAGATGAATCCATTTGGAAGCATTGTTCATAGCCATAGAATGGAAAATATTTCAAAAACATTTCAACTGGTGGTAGAATTATCTTCAACATTTTTTAGCGCTGAAATTAACATCTAAATAAATCTTACATTATGTTCTGTATGAATAATTATTTTGATGTTAGTTTCACAAATGCCTTATTCACACTCTGTGTTAGTTAACTTTTAAATCTATTAATTAAAACACCAGAGTCTCACGTTGTAATATAAATAAAGGGACAACTTTCTTCCCAGAGACCCAAGCTAAGTTGGTATTCAGAGCCCAGAAACAGAACATAGACAAAATATTAATCTCCCAACTCAGCCAACCTCCAATGAACATTTGCAAGAAAAAGTGGATTAAACAAAATTCTTAAAATTGAATAGCTCTGTGCTTGCAGTGCATTAGCTCATGATGAAAGATGGAACAAAAATTCCATAATTCTTGCATAATTGGACACTGTTAATAGATGGTGGAAATATTTTGTGAAAACACAAATTAGCGTATATTCTAATATTATCTTATTTAAACCTATTCTTACTCATGTATCTACCATCCTCCTCATTTTCTCTGACCTGCAAAATCTTTCTTTTCTTCCTCATCCCTCAATATCCCTGATTGTCTCCAGAAAGCCAAAGAGACCGAGAATAGCTACTTGGAAGACATCCTACCTGCCGTTTCATCTAGGCAACCAGTATCAATGGAACCAGTCAGAATGTGAGGGACTGAAGATATAGGAGTGAATAGAAGTCCGTATACCTGTCAATCAAGCCATAAACAAACTAGAAAATAAATAAATAACAATCTTAAAATCCTAAATTTTCTTACTCCGCAAGCTTGAGTAAGTTATTTTACCTACTAAGCCTCAGATTTTTTTAAACCTATAAAATAGGAATGATAAATTGCTTACAGATGTGTGTGTGTGTATATTCTTTGAGATTAAATTAGTCTTTATTAAGAGGGAATTATAAGTCACAATTAGACTTGGCAAGGAGCCTTATGTAGACAGAAATCAGACACATGAAACTAAACATATACTTTACTCAGATTTTTTGCTATAAATTGCTTTTATTGACAAGATTACATATAAAGAAAGATATCAATTATGATGATCCAGTGAACAAAGAACCTTGTTATCTGACTGCTTGGGTTGAGGCACACATGCCCCAGAGAAAATTAGAACACGTCCTGTTATTTATCATAACTTACAGGCTCTTTCTCTGGCTTTCCTGACATTCACGTAAAGATGGTAAAGACTCTCCGACTATAAAGTCGTTTTACGAAAAAGACCATCATTTTGTGTTAACTTCAAAATTTAGAAATCATAGTTTAAGAAAAAAAGAGTACTGAAATCGTAACTGTCTAGTGTGTGAAATGATGTTAGTTCACAGATTTTTGCCTTTTATTATCACTGAGCTTGTAAATAAACTGAAGAGTTCTTTCTTTCTTTTCTTTTTTTTAGATCTTTCAATGGATCTGAAACCTCTTACAGGAGAGAAAGTTCTTTCAGCAGCTGCTTGCTCAGGCTGCTCATTAAAGTCGGCTTTTGTTTGCATGCTGACTTTAAACACAAGGCAAAGTTTGTTTCTTCCACATTACCTCATAAGCTTGTTGTGAAGTTAAAATGAGATCATCCATGCAAAACTCTGCACATTGCCTAGTTTATAGTAAATGCTCAATAAATGTTAGCTATTTTTATTATCTGATCCCTTTCTCTATCCTCCCTGGGCTTACAGAGTTTGGAATCCTAATACTTTTTGCCTTGTTATATTTGCAATAGCCTCCCAAAAGGTTTTCCCATATCTAATATAACCTTCCACCACCTTTCATATGTATTATGTATTGCCACCAGATTAAATGTTCAGATTAATAAATCTGGACCATTCAGGTTTCTGATCAAATGTCTTTAATGAGTTCACTCCTTAACCAGGTATTCAAGACCTGCCACTGCTTAGCTCCATTCTAATTTTAGTTCCCCTTATGTTCCATAATGAACACTATATTCTGGTTGAAATAACTCGTTTGCTGTTCTTTTAAGTGACCCAACATTTCCTTTCAACCTGGAATGCCCCACTGCCTGCCCCACCCCCAACAGGCCGTATCCACACACCCCATCCTCATTATTCTCTCAGCTGAGAGTGTGTCTTCTTCCTCCTCTTACTTTTCTCCTGGTCCTTATCACTTTCTACCTTCTACTTCTACCATTGTTATTTGTGTACCTGCTTTATCTCTCCTAATAGGTCCTTGAGTAAAGAATCCATATCAGGTCCATGTTTTTTTCCCAAAGTATCCACAGTGAATAAGTATTTATTGACTAAAAGAATGAATGAACTTTTCAAATCCTTCAGAGCAGAAAAGGGAGAAGGTCGAACATGAAGCCCAAATCATGTTTTACTACAAGCCTGGTTTCTTAAGCAGAGAGGTGCTGATTTAATTTATGAAAAGATTTCTAGAGAACAAGGGAGGTAATTCTACCCTAAAATATCTTCCAACCTCCAATATGCTACCAGCAGAAAGCCACTAGAAGTTGATTTCCTTCGTCTTCCTATTGGCTTAGGTCAGTTTAGGTTTAAAGAGACACACCCTTGCTAAATAAAGTTGCTTGCTAGGTTACAGAACATGAAAGAGACAAGGAAGGGTAAAACGACACCGAAGGTGGTGGAGAATATTGCAGAAGACACACTTTGCCAACATTGAACTTTTTAAACAGATGATCCTATTTCAGTATTTGGCAGCAATCTAATTTTTTGGTGGGATGTGTCATAATTTACCCACCATGAGGCAGACTGCCTATTTCCAAGAACCTGCCAGGGGGCAGAATCAGAGGGTGTGACAGAATCTGGAGAGAATTTGAGGAAGTATGAAAGCAGACAAGAGGTGATTTGAAGCTCAGAATGGCAGGGCAAGGAAATAGAAGGTGATGCTTGAGCAATTCATGTTCCTTCACCCGTGCAAATTCAGAAGGCACTGCTGAGTCATACCAGGTATGGGCAGTCATATGGAACCCTGGGAAAAGCCAAGGAAGCAATTATGTTAAATCGAGAAGAGAGAGTCACTAAAACAGGCTCGAAAGGGAAACGACCCATGTCAAACTAGGAGGAAGATTGGCAGTTGCACAGCAGCACAGGAAACGCATGAATAGGACCCACACGACCTTGTGTTAGACACTGCACAGCTCCATGCCACTTGTATTTACATTTATCTCATACATAAAGGTCTTCGTCATGTCTTCAGAACTTTTTATATTTATGACATATTATTCATGCTGCCCAGATATCTCAGATTTCATCAACCTGAGACCACGAAGTACTTTCCTTTTATTCCTAAATCATCACGGCAGCAGTCCCTCCACCTCCTTGGTAGAAAGTAATGACCACGAAAGTGTAAGGTCACCTAAGGTGTCTCTCCAGTCAGTTTTCAGGTACAGTGAGGATATGGGGTCTGTGACCAATGCTGTGCTGGAGTGGGTTCCCACAAGCTCACAAGAGCCAACTGTACACATCTCTTCCCAAATCCATGTTCAGTGAATTTATGTTGGTAGCTTGAAATTGGCTATGGTGGCAAATATTACAAGCTAGGGCTTTTTCTCATCCTTGGAGAACTGGTTGTTAAATATTACCAGCGCACCTCCAGGTTTGCCCCAGTCTTCCTTTCCACAAGCTCTCACTTGTGATTCAATTCTACTGCCTATGAAGCCAAGTGGAGAAGCCCCACCATTGCCACTCCTTGCCCTGAGTTCAATAGTAATCCCGATAGTATTGTTTCCAGATGCTTCCAAAGCTTCCAATCTTGGGATTACCAGAACATCCCCGGATTCCATGCAAAGATGGGGAGGAAAACCTATCTCAGCTCTTCATTTTGTCACCTGGGTTCTAAAAACACTTAGTATTCCTGTGGTTTGTTAGTCTACCTTATTGACCTCTTCACGGTGTCTCAAAATGAATCCGACAAACTGTGTAGGAGATAAGCATTATCACAACCTTCTCTGACTTGTTTTATTTCTTAAGAGCCTCCTGCCAACTGCCAAAATGTGTTTCTCCTTCCCCAGGGACAAAACAAAAGCATACATATATATATATATCAGTAGGTGCAAATAACATAGGATGTGTGAGGCTATGGGAAAGGAGAAAAGAAATCTCTGATGACAGGAGGTACAGATGGGGTCCAGCTTAGTCAACCAGAAAGCACGTATGCCATTTAAATTTATTTTTAAAAGTTATGTGCTAATTGGGCTAGATATATCTCTTTTACCCCTTTCCCAGATTAACTCTCCACCATTTTCGCTCTGCTCTACGCTCTGGGAAATGAACACCTCGGGGCTGCCTCATTGGTTCCCTTTCCCTCTAGCCTCCTGTTGAGTTTGGCCAAAGGAAGATACTAGCAGGACGTGTTCTTGTTGGATGGTCTTCTCCATGTAGCTGCTTTCTCTGGGTTCTCATGACTGTTCTCTCCCCGGTCCCTCCAGTCTAGTGGTAGAAACAGCTCCTTGTTGCTGCTAATCCCAGGGTACAGCACCATCCCTCATTGTTTTCCTAAAATCTTACTTTATACTTTTTTAAAAAAAATTTTCTCTATTAAAATCTCATCAATTACCAGTTTGAATATGCCATCTTTTACTCTGCTAAGATCCTGGCTGCTATGCCAATTAAGCCAAGTCATAGCCCACGGAGCTCAATCTTCTTCTCACTAAATTTCTATTTAGTATATTTATGAATCATATACTCGTGTTGTTTCAACAATTGAAAAGAAAAGCCCAAAGAATCATTCTGCCAAAGACGATTGTTTATTTGAACTTAATTATTGTATATCTACACTACCTGGAATTTTATGAGATCTTATCAGAGTTTAGTAATTTTTTTCTGAATGCATAACTCCACTTGACGTAAATAGGTATTGAAGAGAAAATCAAGGATAATGGAGGAACATTGAGGACACTGAATCTTTAATACATGTAAAAATATTTTTTTTTTTTTGAGGAAGATTAGCCCTAAGCTAACTACTGTCAATCCTCCTCTTTTTTGCTGAGGAAGACTGGCCCTGAGCTAACATCCCTGCCCATCTTCCTCTACTTTATTCATGGGACACCAACAACAGCATGCCTTTTGTCAAGTGGTGCCATGTCCGCACCCGAGATCTGAACTGGCAAACCCTGGGCTTTGAAGAATTGAAACGTGTGAACTTAACCACTGCACCACTGGGCCAGCCCCTGTAAAAATATTTTTGATCCATATTGACATAAGAAAAATCCAGTGAGCCTGATGGCCTGGTGGTTAAAGTTCAGCACACTCCACTTTAGTGGCCCAGGTTCAGCTCCTGGGCGTGGAACCACACCACTCATCTGCCAGGAGCCATGCTGTGGTGGCAGCTCATGTAGAAAAACCGGAAGAACTTAGAACTATATGAAACTATGTACTGGGGATTTGGAGGGGAAAAAGGAAGAAAGAAAAAGGAGGAAGATTGGCAATAGATGTTAGCCTAGGGTGAATCTTCCCCTGCAAGAAAAAAAAAAAAAGAAGAAGAAAGAAAGAAAGAAAGAAAAATGAGATATTTCTCTATAACAAAAAGAAGAAAAATCCAGCAATTTAATCAGAGTATTAAAAATACACTGATGAATTGGAACAAATAGGTTCCATCTCAAGAACACTGTCTCCGAGTTTAGTTACATTAAAGTGAAAATCTGGTGGTGTAATTTTGGTTTAATGTAGGGAAGTGTTAGAAAATCCACTCTGATGTTAACAGGATCTTGACTCTCACATTATTTGGTTGAGTAGATTCCAGAAAAATATTTTCCTACTCATATATTCTCAGAAAACCAACAATTGGAATAATTCAAATCAGGAAGTAACTAGTATACATTTTAGGCTGTCTAACCCCTTATCCTCTTGGCCATCTCTGAGTCAGTCATCAAACTAAGGAGCTGCTCCACACATAAAGCAGTCTCTAAAATGAGAAAGACAGGGCACCCTTGCCCTGACCTGCAGGCGGAAGACTAGGAGAAAGGATATGTGACATGACTGACTCATTGTGAAAATGTGGGAAGGAAACACTGTTTCATTTTATTGTATCCCAGAGACTACGTAGTTTGTAAAACCTATGGATTGAACCAAATAAGGTTACGTTAGCTTAAAATTTCCTCTCCTTATGATGTATTTATACTATCTTATTTAATGGCTCTAAACAATGCACTCTTGTAACTCTGTGTGTAAATGTAAATAAAAAATAATGTGATAAAAGTGGGGAAAAACCCAAGAACAAAAAATTAACAAGATAAATTAAAAAAGAAAAAAATATATTTTAAAAATACTAATGTGAGTGCTTAAAGGGAAAGACCTAAGTTATTACCTTACCCACCTCAACCTCCTAGGGGCGTAACGTAAGGATTTGAACATATAAGGACTTCAAGATCCACTTTTTAAATTTAATGCAAATATTCAAAATAAAATTAAAATCAGACTGGCTGTTTCTGAAGAAGTTCCAAACTTAAGCATTTGGTTTTCTTTACACATAATGAAAAATTCATTTGCTTACAGAATCTTGGCAACTCCAGGAAATTCAGTGAAACTCTCAAGGTGCTGAAGATTACCGAAAAAGGATTGTCATCAGAGCCATCACACAGGTAGTCATTGTTCCTGATGCTCCCCTGACTGGAATTGCTCCTGATGAAATGCAAGCTCGTCCACCCTGTGTGACTAAAGGTATTAAAAGCTATGAAGAATATGGACAGGGTAAGCCATGATTAATTGCTTAGTGCAATGAAACTAATCCAACATATACGCGAATCTTAGTATTTAATGCTCAGTACAAAAAAGGAACTTGTGATGTTTTAACACACCTTTAAAACCATTTATGCAAATACAGTCATCCTTCGAATCTGCAGGTTCCACATCCCTGGATTCAACCAACCACGAATTGAAAGGACTGCAATGGTTGCGTCTGTACTGTATTATCTTGTCGTTATTCCCTAAACAATACAGCGTAACAACTATTTACATAGCACTTACATTGTATTAGGTGTTATAAGTAGTGTAGAGATGATTTAAAGTATATGGGAGCATGTGAGTAGGTTATATGCAAACACTACACCATTTTTATGAGAGACTTGAAAATCTGCAGATTTTGGTATCCATGAGGGATCCTGGAGCCAATCCTTTGGAGATACCAAGGGATGACCGTATATTCTTTTGCCTTCCTAAGAATTTCTACTCATGAGCTCTCAACTCAATAATAGCAGTATTCTAGAGAAATTAAACAATCTAACTTAATCAGATATAAACTTTCCCAGGTTGTCATTTATCTAGCATGAACAGGTTTAAGGAGATCTATTGTACTGCTGTTTATTTAGAGCTGCCCATAGGTCGATAGGTTAAAATATGTTCCTGTTTCTTTTCAACAAACAAGGAAACACATTCACACATACAATAGTCTTCCCTCACCCACCGTTTTGCTTTCCACGGACAACTGCAGTCCAAAATATTAAAGGGAAAATATTAGAATATTAACTGGAAAATTCCAGAAATACACAATTCATAAATCTTAAATCATGTGCCATTGCAATGAAAGATTGTGTTGTCCCACTCCATCCTGCTAGGGACATGAATCATCCCTTCATCCAGTGTACTCATGCCATATACACTAAACACCTGTTAGTCACTTAGTAGCTATCTGCGTTATCAGATTGACCATTGAGGTATCGCAATGCTCGTGTTCAAGTACCTTTATTTACTTAATAATGGCCCCAAAGAACAAGAGTAGTGATGCTGGCGCCTAAGATATGCCAAAGAGAAACCATGAAGCACTTCCTTTAAGTGAAAATGTGAAAGTTCTCAATTTAATAAGAAAAAGTCGTATGCTGAGGGTACTAATATCTACAGTAACTTTATTTCAGTATGTTGTTCTAATTGTTCTATTTTACTATTAGTTACTGTTGCTAATCTCTTACTGTGCCTAATTTATCAATTAAACTTTGCCATAGGTATGTATGTACAGGCATACCTTGGAGATACTTCTTGAAGTTTTGGGCCAAACCACTGCAATAAAGTGCATGTCGCAATAAGGTGAGTCACACAAATTTTTTGGTTTTCTCTCTTTCTTTTTTTGAGGAAGATTAGCCCTGAGCTAACATCCACCACCGATCCTCCCATTTTTGCTGAGGAAGATTGGCCCTGAGCTAACATCTGTGCCCATCTCCCTCTATTTTATATGTGGGATGCCTGCAACAGCATAGCTTGATAAGTAGTGTGTAGGTCCACTCCCAGGATCCAAACCGGGAAACCCCAGGCTGCCAAAGTTCAGTGCGTGAACTTAACTGCTACGCCACTGGTTTTTTGGTTTTCCAGTGCATATAAATGTTATATTTACAGAATACTGTAGGTTGTCAAGTGTGCAATAGCATTATGTCTACAAAAACAACATATGTACCTTAATTAAAATATACTTTATTGCTAAAAAATTTGAGCCATTCTCTGAGCCACCAGCAGGTTGTAACCTTTTTGCTGATGGAGGGTCTTGTAAAAAAAGCAATATCTGTGAGGTGCAATGAAACAAGGTACACTTGTGTAGGAGAGGAAGACTTTTCCTCTATCCAATGTGGGTTCGTCTGGCCAGAGAATGAATTAAATTCACATGAGCAAAAAAACTCACCACTCTTGCTTCCATTGGACTCTGTCAGCAGAGATCCAGGAGACTGACATGGTAAGAACTCTTACCTCTTGCCGGCTCTCGTCAGGGGTCCGGGATCTCTCAGCCGCAGCAGTCCAGGAGCAAGCAGTGTCCAGCCGGTGAAATTTTATTCCGTCCAAGTCGCCAAACTGTAGGGGAAGAAGACATTTCCTCTATCCAAAGTGGGTTCGTCTGGCCAGAGAACGAATTAAATTCACATGAGACAGAATAGCAAGAGAAAATTAAACAAAGCTTTATGAGGACCATGGCCCGGGGCCTTTCTTCTCAAAGGAAGAAAGGGCACAGAAGAAGTGGGGTGCACGGAGTGGTTATATACCCCCAAACAGGATGTTTCACATATGATTGAAATGTCCCTCCCACAATAGTCGCAAGATTGCCCTGTCAGCACAGTCAGTGCTTGATGGACACAGCAGGTAGTGGGTCTGCTATCTCAGTGGGCATAGCAGGAGGCAGGTCTATTGTCTTGAGCTGGGTGGTCACAAGTGAGTGCAGCAATCGGTTCCTAGCCTAAGAAAAGATGCTTAATCCTTAAAGAAATGCCAACGTTGAGAGGGGGAGGGAAGTCAGTTACAGGAGGTTACCAGACTAGCACAATAAAATGCAGATTTAAGTCCTTGCCGTCCCCATTAATCAAGAGTTTCTAGAGACAAGGTCATCTCCCCTTCTTCCTGGTACAGAGGGAGATATCTTTACAGATGGAGAGTTCCTTTACAATGTAAATGTCTCCTAACAAAGGGCAAGCAAGTTCCACTCCTCAGAGCCTCCTTCCCTGTCCCAGTTTATCAAAAGCAATCAGCCTCAAATAATCCTCATGCCAAAGAGACATATCTTGGGGTGGCCAATTCCAGTCCCCACACTTGCATAGGGAAAAAATCATAGTACAGTCCATGTCACTTAACAAAGGGAATATGTTCTGAGAAATGCATCATTAGGTGATTTTGTTGTGTGAATATCATAGAGTGAACTTACACATACCTAGATGGTATAGCCTACTACACACCTAGGCTATAGGGTGCTAATCCTATGGGACCACCCTCATATATGCGGTCCATCTTCAATCAAAACGTCGTTATGCAGCATGTGACTGTATATATAGGGCTCAGTACTATGCGAGCTTTTAGGCATCCACTAGGGGTCTTGGAACATATCCTCTGTGGATCAGAGGGGCCTGCTGTATAAATCAAAACATCAGAGCCCATTGAACCGAGGTGCCAGGACACAACTGAGAATCAGTACAGGGCCAAAATTATAGCAACAGTTTCTGACAAAGGTGAAGGGTGATTCAAGTATAGAAATGGTAGAATTTGTAGCAAAATTGGTGATCTGGATCAGCAAAGCAAGATAGGAGACATTTTCAATCCCATTGTGTTATTCAGGAAAAATAGGTTATGTTTTAGTAACAAAATGAACCCTGAAATCTCACCAGCTTAATATATAAAAATTTCTGTCTCCTTCACACAAAGTTGGCTACTCTCTAGAGCAGTGCCCTTCCCAGTTACTACAGATATCCAGGCTATTTCTATCTTGTAGCTCCATCAGTGGAAATTCTTGTTTTCCAGGGTGGTTGTGTTGGGGGAAAAAAGAGACCTGGGGATTGTTTGGACTTTACATTGCTGAGGCTCAAGAGTGGCATGTGTTCTAAGGCACAGACCATGGAAGTCATCAACTATTTCACGTGCTTTCCTACATTTCCCAGTCTCTATGTAGGTAGTTTGGGACAATGAGATTACTTCTAGCCAATGGGTTATGAGCGGCAATGGAGTTCTGCCTCCAGGATGAGGCATTTAAGAGCCAGTGTGAGTTCTTCAAGCTTTCTCTCCCCCTGTCATGTGACTGTAGTTCCAAATGGCCAAGTTACAGGATTAAAAAAAAAAAAACCCTGATCACCAAGTCACTGTTTAGGAGGGAGCTGCCCTATAGAGCTACTGGGCACACAAATGACTTTGTGTGGGCAAGAGTGAAGCAAAGTTGTATTTGCCAAGCCTTGAGATTTGGAGTTTATTTTACAATCTAACTCAGCCTATCTTTACTGATGTCCCAGTGAAGACGAGTGCTTCAGAGCTCAATTCTCTGATGGAGGAGGTCCTAAGGAGCTCAGTTTCCCAGTCCTAATATTGTTGAAAGATGCATATACAACTCAAAGTGACAGTAGTACATAAACAGGGATAAGGCTATGTGACTAGAAATGTGTCTATCCAGTTTAGAAGCAGAGATACATTTTGAATATGACAGCTAATTCTAATTCTAACTAATAATGTAGATTGCACATAGTTTGAAATTACTTAATGGGAGACACACATCCTTGCCTCTGGGAGGCATGAGTGGGAACCTCGTGATTGGGAAATGTACAATCCGAAAACCAGGACAATACGTTTATGATTTTGCTTTCAGTGTTGAATCCTTTGGTGTCTGTCAAGATATATGAAGTCAGGTTTATGACTAAAAAAGCCACTTTTTCCCTTTCATGCGATGAATCAGAGGCAATTGGCAGGAGGTGAGAGCTAAACGTAGATTAACAGAGAAAGATTTGCTAAGCTGTCAAATACTCTCCTTTAAAACCAATAGCAGGAAACAAAACATCCAAGTGCTGCTTTAAATTTATGGGACTATTGCAAACCTAGGAATTTTCAATACCTAGTGCAATGTAAGAGAGAAGTCTTGAAGATACCTCTTAGAGAAGAATGGAAAAATCAGTCATGTTATGAAGTGATTGATAATAATAAAATATTTCTTTCCCTGTTTGTATTTCCTTAATAATTGTTTTTAAATATCTTAGTCTTTTAAACATGTTACCCTTTGTTGTGGTACGGGAAAAAAATGACAGATGAATATTCAGAACCTCTTACATCTCTCACATAGCAGGAGAATTTTTTCCTTTGTCCCCTTAATATGGGGCTTGGTTGTGCAGCCTGAATAATGAGTGAGGAAGGAAACAGTAAGACCAGTAAGTTTGAAACCCCTCTGATTGATTTTCACTGCTCAGGACTGAGAGTTTTTGTAGAAGAGAAAGCGGGACAAGGCACAGACCAGAGAGACAAGAGATTGGGCTCGTTGAAAGGAAGAGATTTAAGAAGATTTTAGAAAGTGGGGGAGAAGATTGGGACTAAGTCGCCACATTGTGATGAGTGGGTCTTTGGGGCAATTGAAGAATAGATGAAGAGGATTTTTAATGTTGGGTCTGTGTTATGGATGGAAGCCTTCTTTCAGAGAGGATTCAGCAAAGATTAAAGACTCTCTCTCTCTTAATAAAAGATGATTTTTCTAAAAGTAATAAAATGCTGAAATGGGCCAAAGAGTGATTAACTTTATAGATTTTTCTGACTTTTAACAAGATATTTTAATTTTCTATAAAAATATATTTAACCAGCTGTCATTGTGCTACACCAAGCCAATAGGAAAACATCAAATAGTGATGGATCAATGTGGTCAATCACTTAAAGAAAATTCTCAGGATGACAGGCTGGGATCAGAATATATATTTCAATGAGAAATACTTCCACTTATAAGTGACAGAAACTGTGCCCAACAGGAGCTCAAGAACAGAGGGATACTTTTCTTACATAACAAGAGATCTGAAAATAGGCTTCTGTTGGCATTTGTTGAGCAGTTCAATGGTGTCAGTCCTAGCAAGTGTGTTATTTTCTTTACCTTTCTCTCATGATTAAAAAGTGTCTCTGCCACGTTACAGTGGCAGGTCCTTAAGAGGAGAGAAAAACTAGTTTGGTCCTTATAGCTCATGGCAAAGGAAAAGGATGACATAGGAAGTGGAGTGGCCCTGAGAAGACAGCGGAATGGCTTTTGTGTAGATCAATATTACCTACTTCAATCTTATTTCTAGGGGTACCCCACAAAGAGCAATATTTTTGGCTTTTTATGACTTTCCTGTGAGTATCCTCACCATTCAGATATTGCCAACTAACCTGGTTAATATCAGATTGAAACCAGAGTTAGGGAATAAGGATGTATCTGGGCCCTGAGGCATCACTTACCTCTTCCATCCACTCTCCTCTCAAAATAAAAATCATTTCATGAAACAGTATTGATATAAGCAATTTGGCATCTATTTGTACAGCTAGAAAAAATCAGGCTCAGCATGCTCCGCTTTGGTGGCCCAGGGTTGTGTGTTCGGATCCTGGGCATGGACCTACACACCACTCATCAAACCATGCTGTGGTGATGTCCCACATATGAGATAGAGGAAGATTGGTACAGATCTTAGCTCAAGGACAATCTTCCTCACCAAAGGAAAAAAATATCAGACTCTCTAATTCTCAAAATGAACTGCCTCTCAGTAAGAGGAGAAAGTTGTATCATCAAGGATTTTATGTGCAATATGCAATAGCTACTGTATTTTATAATTCTAAGATTTTTAACA